AAGATTAAATTTAACATTCCCCATTTGTACATCTTCCCACTTTCCAGCTCCAAAAGGGTTTCCAAACTTTTTGTTTATTTATTTAACCAATTTAGGAATTCAAATTGTAGGAATGTCAGAGGTAGAAGAGGTAAAAAAGAAATAGAAGAGGTAAGTTCTATTAGGATAAAAAAACATACAATTCTAATAAAGAGCTATTCTGGCTCAACCTTCCTGTCTAATGATAATGGAGTCTAGGTTTTCCTTTATATCTCTTATCCTGGAGCAAAGATCTGAGAAAAACTTTGTTATATGCAGTCATTTATTGTATTGAATTTACTACTGATAGAACTGAAGCTACTATATACGTGAACCACGTCAAAAGAATTATGGTATATAAATCATTCTTTGTAACATTAGTAAAGGAGTTATATATAGTACAGAAAAGGCCTAAAATGAACACATTATTAAGTGTGGTCTCTGCCACTTTTCTGCTCTGTGACTTCAGTTTCCTTGCCTATAAATTAAGAATAGTAATATCTAACTCATAACTGTATCTTTCTCTCTCTTATTCAGAAAGGTTCTTAGATTTCACTTTTGCAACTTTCATAACTACTTTATAGCCTAGGCTTCACTGTATTCTTCTTTTCTGAGGCCGCATCACTTTGTTATGTAGTCTAGAGCTTCTTTACTGAATACAGTCGCCACTGGACATATACTGAGCGCTTCAAATGTGACTAGTTTGAATTAAGAGGTTGTAAAAATATAAAATACGTATCAGATTTCAAATATTTTTAGTGTGGAGAAAAAGACATAAAATACCTCATTCTTATTTTTATATTAATTACATATTAAAATGATAATACTCTGGATATACTCAGTTAAATAAAATACATAACTAAATTAATTTCACCTTTTTTCAAACCTTTTTAATATGCACACTAGAAAATTTACAAGTACACATGGCTGTGTACTTTTTCTTACTGGACACCTCTGATCTAGGGTTCTGACTTCCTAACTGATTATACCCCTTAAGAGTAGGGGTAAAAATTCATACTTTACCTTTGTAACCTGAGCCTCTAGTAAAACCCTCTCCACACAGTTGATGCTTGTAAGTGATCCAAAATGTGCTCTCTTTTGGATTACTAGTTTTATCCTATGAAATTATGTTGAAAGCAAAAAATCTACTTCTAGTATTAGCCTATATTTATAGACATGTAGTTAATAAAAAAAATTTACGGATGCAATTTCCAGGTAAGAAAAGCAGTCTCCTGATTATTCCAGTTATGGTCAGTTTGAGAATCAAGTTTTTAAAAACTATATTTACACTTAGCTCATTTTTCCCTTTAAATAAATTATTACCATTCCATTTTTTTTTATTGTACTCAGGATCACATCAGGCACTAGTGAGAAAATTAGTCATATGTTAACCTGCACATTGTAATGGGTAGTTTTCAAATCTAAGGACAAACATAATGCAGGTAAAAACTTACTGCAAAGATCTAAGTAGTCAACAATTTTTAAGGTGTCTTAAGAGTCTTCCCTGTAGCATTTGGCTTCAACTCCAATTCTATTCACCAAGTAGATATTGGTTTTTATCAATGCTATGTATAGTAAAAAGTGATTTTTAAATATAATATCTTCAGTTAAATTTGTGGAATGTTTATAACTCCTTTAAAAAATACTTAAGCTAATGAAACAATTTTATTCTTATTAAAACAGATACACTTGAACAATAGTCTATCAATCTTCACTACTCAGTTATTCATATTTTAAAATTCTTCTTTTCAGTTCAAACATCTAGGTAGAGAGCCAACTCCTGAAGGGAATAGAAAGAAGTAAAATACAAGATCCCTAACCTTGAAGGAAAGGCAAAGCCTAAGGTTTTCAAAACTTAGTGATGAGAAGAACACAAATATGTAATAAAGAAGCTGGACTTGGTGAGAATAATGAGTTTTATTTTAGAGACACAATAATTCAACAGCAAATGTTACCAAGTATGGAAATAATGGACTAGAGTTTAGCAAACCCATTCTTCACAGATCCTGAACTAGACATTCAACTTCAGTTTCCTGTCTATAAAATGCTACAGATAGACTAGATGAACAAGTAATCCAAGAAATTCTCTTTTATAGCCTCAGAAATTAGTATAAATTTTGTCCAGTACACTAACACACTCAATAAACAATTACTGAGTATTTCCTAAATTTTAAAATAGTTTAATTAGTGATAGATAGTTTTTTAAAGAAAGGTTGTACAGCTAAAATACAAACGTATAATTAACATTATATAGCCACATGAATACAATAAAATGTAATTCTCTTAAAAACATTTCAGTTTGAAATAATTATGTAGCTTCACAGGAAATAAATAGGGAGGGAAGTCCCATACATCCTTCTCCCAGCATCCTACATTTTACACAACTTTTATGTATTTGAAATAAAAAGCACTGTAATAGTCACATCAAAATTTCCTATAAAAACAACTCTAAAAACTTTGTTTCTGTGGGAAGCAAAAAAAATATTATTTAAGGATCTTTTTAAGCTTCCAGAATTTACATTAAAAACGGGAATTCAAAAGTTCGAAAATTAAACCACAAAAATTCTGATGGTTGTCCTACAATAAATATTGGCACGAGCTACACTTTCTGTGCCACTGAGTGGGGGAAGTTATGCCCACGCGACATATACCTGTATGTGGAATAGAAAAAAAAAATTTCCTAAAACAGAAAGATAGTCATTCTTTAATTACCCATGAACTGGTCATTTTCCCATAATAAAAATGGCCATATTTGTACCCAAAAAAGATTTGAATCCATAATATAAATCATACTTATTTTATAAGTACTCTAACAAAATATATTTAATCAAAAAAGAAAAAAAGCTAGCTATCCCTGACATTGTCCTCTTTCACTGTATTATTCATTCTCTTTTAACTGTGTAATAATGTTTTCCATTCTGTGAATTGCTTTTGAGTACAAATACTAGACATGCCAACAAAGCACACATGTATCTCAAACCACATACTAGACAAACTCCTATTCAATATAAAAATTTCAGAAATTGCATCTTGGGGCAGCCCAGGTGGCTCAGCAGTTTAGTGCCGCCTTCAGCCCAGGGCGTGATCCTGGTGATTCTGGAGACCTCGGATGGAGTCCTACGTCAGACTCCCTGCATGGAGCCTGCTTATCCCTCTGCCTGTGTCTCTGCCTCTCTCTCTCTCTGTGTCTCTCATGAATAAATAAATAAAATATTTTAAAAAGAAAGAAAGAAAGAAATTGCATCTTGTACTAATTGCTTAAAACACTAATTCTGGGGGCAGCCTGGGTGGCTCAGCGGTTTAGTGTCATCTTCAGCCCAGGGCGTGATTCTAGAGACCCGGGATCGAGTCCCACATCGGGCTCCCTGCATGGAACCTGCTTCTCCCTCTGCCTGTGTCTCTGCTTTTCTCTCTCTCTCTGTCTCTGTCTCTCATGAATAAATAGAACCTTAAAAAAAAAAAAACCCACTAATTTTTTGTTTAAAAAGAACTGTAGAAGGTGATTATATTTAGGAAGCAAAGAATCTTTACCAATACATGCCTGTAACTATTATGAGACATGGATTTGTATCTCCCAGATGCTTTACACTAAGAAAAACCAGTACTTGAGACTCATAACACTTTGTCTCCCAAGCACTACTTCCAAGATCTTTCCTCCTGATGGTATCCCTATTTGGGCAGAATAAGTGGCAAGCACCTGTTATATAGAGTGCCTTGTTAGGAATCTATCATTCTACAAAAAAAAAAAAAAAAAAAAACACAACCATATACAGCATGGAAAAAGCAATGGCTTTTAAAACCTGTATTACAAAAAAATTAAAATAAAAAAATAACTGTATTACAATAATCATAGTTAAATAAACTATAATATATTACTGAATTATTAAAGAGCATCTCTAGGTTTTTTTCCCAATGGTACACACAGAAGGGGTGAAACACTTCTAACCAGTTAAAATGCCAGCAAATGAAGAATAAATAGCATTTTTATCCTCTCCATATTTCAGTATAAGACCTTAAAATAAATAAATTTCCTTTTTCAAACGTATATTCTAAAAAGATCAGCTTTCTGGTCAATTAAAGTCCCATTAGACACAATATATCTATTTATTGAATCAGAGAACAAACATATACATCTTTCCATCCTATAGCTTACCACACTCCTGCTGGAATCCCTTGCAATTCCCAAGAACAATCAATCTTCATAGCCAATAACCTAATGTTAAGGTGGTTGGTCATTCAAAAACAAAATATAGTGAAATCTATCTGTATAACTGCCTAAACCAAATAATCTAGGGGCAAAGTAAGAACCTTTCATTGAATCCATCAGAAATGGCTCTCATAAAAGCACAAGTTATCAAAATAATCAGCCAGCAGAAAATAGTATCTTTCTCTTATTTAAAATGGCTTGAATTTTTTCAACTCAACTTAAAAAAAAAAAATTCCATGTTTAAATAAATCTTACAATATTTGTAAAAATTCAAATATAAAACAAATTACTTTTCTAATATAAACATGACAAATTTTACAATTAAAAAAAAAAAAAACAGTAATCTGTTATCTTGATTTTTTTTTTTTTTTTTTTTTTTTTTTTTTGGGTAGGCTCACACCCAGCATGGAGGAGCCCAATACAGGGCCTGAACCTACACTCCCAAAATCGAGACCCGAACTGAGATCAAGAGTTGGGTGTCAAACCAACTGAGCCACCCAGGCACCCCCATGATTCTTAAGGTTGAGAATTAGCAGATGGTAAAGACAAAAGAATTAGAAAAAGATATGGCATTTTGGCTCAAGAGGTGTTTTAAAAAATAACTCAGTTAAGCGAAGTTTTGCCTTTAACATTCTGATACTTTGTTTCAACAAGAATCTAAAATGAGAAAAACTATAACACAACCAAGAACCAAGCAGTTCTTGGTTGTGTTACAATAACTGGTATAAAATATTTTGCCTTTCCTAACCAAAATACTTTTAATTTAAATACTTACTCTGAGCCTGCAGCCATTTCCAAGTATGATGTTTCTGCTGTATCAACCCCCAAAGGGATCACTATGCTCATGACGTTCGCCTCTGGTAAATTCGATTACTATGGAGTCCTATGCATTGGTATCCAAAACACTGGGGCATGCCAGCCACAGTGCTCATTGCAAACATCTAAGTGCATCCACAAACCCTGTTTAAAAGAAAAGGGAACAAAATGTTAAAAATTATCTTCATATTCCTAACACAGTCACACTATAACAACAGTAAGTAAAATATATGAATGAAGCATTCTTCATTAAAGTATCCATATAAAATGAAATTTGCTCAGGGAATCTCTACTTCATTTAATTTTTTCTTGAATTAAGTTATGGGATTCTGATGAAAAGTTTCTGAATCAAAATCTCCCTTTGGGAATGGATTTAAAATACCAAAAGAAAGATTAACTAAGGTATATTACTTAGTGAAGAACCAACGAATATTACTCATTCTGAAAGATTAAATGGAATTTCGTACAGCACTAGTATCCAAAATAAATCTTCCAGAAAGTGATCAAAACTAACAAATATTGAGTACTTACTATGGACTGAGCATATTAGCTTTTATATGGATGCTCTATTATCCTTACAACTCTGATAGGAATCTTTTATCACTGAGGATCACAAAAGCAAGAAAGATTACAGAATTAACCACGGCAGCTCAGTTCAAAAATTAAAACCACGATTTGAACCAATTCCACTCTACTGATTATACACACATACATACACACACACACACACACACACACACACACACATATGGAAGGCTATTTTATTTATAATAAAATCTATTTTAAAGTGGTTGTCATTTTCCATACTATATAAAAATACATGTCTACTGAGGGAGTTCTCAATTTCTGCAGTTTGTATTAACTAATTAGCTAAACTAATACACTTGAACTGTTTTTTAAACAAATTTACCAAGTAACAAAATATACTCAAGCTTCAGTATCAATGCTTCTAATTCACTGTATAACACTTGCACATAATACTATTTGTGAACTATCTACTCAAAATCTTTTCAGTAATAATATGGTATAACTTAGGAACAAAACAGGGAGATAATCCTATAAACAAGAAAAGAGCAACAGTCAAAATTGTTACCGCCATGTTATACCTGAAATACTGAAGAGCAGGGTTTCTTCAAATAGCCATTCTTGTATTTATCTTTAATTTTTACAAATAACCTTGAGAATACCTAATTCAGGTTAATTCCTATTTCACATATTGCAGATTGTGAGCTCATACCTGACCAGAGCATACCAAAATAGAGAAATAAAGTGGTAAAAGTGGTTTGAATTCTTCAAGAAAACCAGCCTCTACTTTTAAATCATGTATAACTGGTGGAGACCTACTAAATTATACGGTATTATAATAAAAATATATGGCAACAGGCTTTTGCACCTAAAAATTAAAAACATAAGCATTGGCACCTTTTTCTATTCTTTGCCAGATGTGTGAACTAGGCAAGTTATTTAACCTAAGCCTCAGGTTCCTTATTTAAAAAGTGGGAATTTATCAAGTTTTCTGTGAAGAAACTGAAATAATAAATGTAAAGCATTTTTGTACACAGCATCGCACATATTTAGCAATCAGTATATAGCAGTCACATAAGAAAAGCCCTCTTCATTTAAAATTAATCTTCTGGGCAGCCTGCGTGGCTCAGCGGTTTAGCGCTGCCTTCAGCCCGGGGCGTGATCCTGGAGACCCGGGATAGAGTCCCATGTAGGGCTCCCTGCATGGAGCTTGCTTCTCCCTCTGCCTGTGTCTCTGCCTTTCTCTCTGTGTCTCTCATGAATAAATAAATAAATAAATAATATTTAAAAATAAAATTAATCTTCTATAATAGTTTTGGAAAATAATTAGTTATATGTTTTTACAGTTCCATCAAATTAAAATCATCATCTAAAAATAATTAAAGCAGAGTGAGCAAAAGGAAAAGCTACCCTACCTTCTTTCCTGCACCCGATATTAGAATTACTTCATAAAAGCCATCTTTATTAACCCACATAAAGCTATAAAATTGCTAATTGACAACATGCAAGCAATACAAAACTAAGTTTGTTCTTTTCAAATGTACATTATTGTGTATTTCTTTAAAATGCTGACGACATGGACCTAACAACAGATAACAGTTACAACTTAAAAAAAAAATTATCTTCTTTGTTGGGAGAATCTAATTGGTAGTTTTCTTCAGCTCAGTTTGCCTTTACATTAGACTCATAAGTTGTCTTCTATCTTAGGTGTATGTTGTTAAACATTTAGTAGTGCCTATTTTTTCTTTGTTTTGTTTTAACCAGAGGCAGAAACCAGAAAGCAGAAATTAAATCATTATGTATTCTTTTAGGTAACTGAGTATTTCCAACCTAAAAGAGTCTGCTTGAGTATGTATTTAACAGTGTGCTGCCTTTTTATATAAATATACAATCCTCAATAAACACCACATTTAAACTTTTAAAATAGCAGTGAAGAGCTTGCCATCAGCCTATTTCAGACAATGTCAGGTGTCTGTGTGATTACTGCCTGTCTCTCAAACCCTGCACAGTGCCTGCAGCATAACAGGCACTCTATAAGGGATTAGTGAATGAATTTGAGCATCTAAGATGAAACTGCAGCCCTAGTCTCATTAGCCAAATGAGTTGTCAACCTCTACAATTAAGTGCTGTAATAGCAACTACATGACACCTTCTCCACAAATGCATCGCTCTAAAAAACACAGAAGCTCATCCCCAGGATAGATACACATTATTGCATCCCCACAGACTGAATTTGATTCAACATGGAAGAAGATCTCAGTAATTTATTCACAAAAGGTCAGAAGAGGGATGCCTGGGTGGCTCAGCAGTTGGGCGCCTGCCTTCGGCTCAGGTCGTGAACCCAGGATCCAGGATTGAGTCTCAGATCAGGCTCCCTGCGAGGAGGCTGCTTCTCCCTCTGCCTATGTCTCTCCCTCTCTCTCTCTCAGTCTGTGTCTCTCATGAATAAATAAATTTAAAAAAAAAAAAAAAAAGGTCAGAAGGCAAGAGGTCCTATCTATTCAGACTATAAAACGGCAAATATTTCACCTTATTCATTAAAACCAAAAACTCTATAGCCAGAAAACTCATACTGTTCAAAAATGTAGTTAATACTTACTAAAACCATAAATTCATTAGGGTCAAATCATTGTGCCTTAAAAAAAAAAAAAAAAAAGGGAAAGCCAACGTAGTAATAAGCAGAAAAGGTATGAGCTTGTAATACAGGCAGAATTAGAGGAAAAAATAATTCAACACAATCCAAACCATTACCACAAAGCTTTCACATCTTACATGTGATTCGAGAAACTGGTTATCCAACTGGCAGGTAAATATATACAAAATACATTGAGAATAAATGGCAGCCATTAAAGAAATAATATAAAAGGAAATACCATGAGATGTCTGGTAAATCTGAGGTCCAAGAAAGAATAAATGTCTTCACAAAACCTGCTATCCAGAATAGACCTAGAAACCAAGTGAACATAGGAGTATTGAGCTGTTTTTAAATGTCATAAAATTATAGGTCGTTCTATCTAACATGGCACCTAAAACTAAAGGGACTCACATAAAGAGAGCAGCTAATTCTTAAAAAAAAAAATTATTCACCTCTTTATATAAATGAATGTAATCACAGTAAAGACAACAATTAAAGCTAAATACCAAATCAAACAGAAAAGAAACTCGGAAAATACAGTATTAAAAACAGATTTAGCAAAGCAAAGGCAAAAATACCAAGACAAAAACAAAACCCTAAAGTAGGAAAAATAAGATAAAAGCTAGGAAAAAGGGCAGCCCAGTTGGCTCCGCGGTTTAGCGCTGCCTTCAGTCCAGGGCTTGATCCTGGAGACCCAGGATCAAATCCCATGTTGGGCTCCCTGCATGGAGCCTGCTTCTCCCTCTGCCTGTGTTCTCTGCCTCTCTCTCTCTCTCTTTCTCTCTCTGTCTCTCGTGAATAAATAAATAAAATCTTTAAAAGAAAGTTTTCTTTAAAAAAAAAAAAAGGCTAGGAAAAGCAGGACGCCTGGGTGGCTTAGTGGTTAAGCATCTGCCTTTGGCTCAGGCTGTGATCCCAGAGTTCCAGAATCAAATCCGCATCGTGCTCCCTTTGGGGAGCCTGCTTCTCCCTCTGCCGATGTCTCTGCCTCTCTCTCTCTGTGTCTCCCATGAATAAAAACATAAAATCTTAAAATAAAAATAAAAAGCTAGGAAAAGCAATTGCCAAACAGTCTATCAGAAAAACTGGAAGGCTGAGGCTGCTTTTAAGACCTTGTCCAGAAAACAAAAACTACTCCTGAAAAGATAAATATTGTACACCCAAAAAGCAGAAGGAAGTGTGAGGAAATTTTTTTCTAAAATTACAAAAAAAAAGTTCTCAATCTAATATAATCTCTTTGAAGAGTCATTTATTATCTTTCTGCCCTTTATAAGTACCTTATACAGAGCTCTTAATACTAAAATTAAATCAATGTTTATGTTTTGGATAAGTATCACTGATAAGCTGGTGAATTTTTGGCTAAACTACTAATGGAAATGAAATAAAGAAACTTGAAAGAAATTGTGAGGGATCACATACCTAAGATTTCCTTATAAATTAGAAATTAAACTGCCCTAACTATGAATTTAAGATTTCTTTACTCCGTAGCAGTTGAGTAAGAAACAATTAAAAAAAAAATACAGACTGATCAAGATCTATTACCAAGTTATTACCTATGAAACTTTGGACAAGACATTTCACTACTCTGGGCTTCCACAATAAATGGAGGTAGGTTAGCTTGACGATCTTAACAGTTTAAACCTTATAATCAAAAGTATATTAACAGATTATTCTTGAAAAAACAGAATAAATATCAAATTGCAAAAAGCAACATAAAATAACTTTGACAACAGAATGAATTATTTCTCCAACTAGGTTAATATTAGTATCAGACAGTGCTCTATAAGCACTTACCTGATACTCAAATCCCCAGAGGTTAAAAGAGCAGTAACAAATACTGAGCGCTTAAAATACTTAATCCTCACAATGAATTTATGGTTTAAGTACATTTATTATCCCCATTTTATAGACAATGTAGAGATTAAACTTGTTTCAAGTTCCATAGCTAATAAATAGCAGAACCAAGACTGGAACCCTAGCAGTCTGATTCCAGAACCTACATATTAGTTTGCCTGAAATTAAAATTTGCTACATAATTGGTAAAATAAATGACCTAGAATTTACAGAAAGGAGGAAAAAAATTAACAATTGCCTCTCTCAAAAAGAAGAGAGATTAAACAAACACCTAAGTGTTTCACTCCAGGACATTTGGACTGTATTTATTCTAGCACACTGAAAGAACAATAATGAAACCCACCGTGCTCCTCCCTCAAACCTGATCTACTTAGTGAATTTACATCCATTCCACAACAATGTATTAAAACACCACATAAGTGGAGACCCACAGGCTCAAAGTCTAAACTTTGGATTTAAAATATTTTGGGGATGGTGCAAAGCACATAATCAGAAGATATTCAAATTCTCTTACTATTTTCTGGAACAAACATATGCTTCACTAGTATACTGAAGTGAAAGGAACCATATTCCAAATTTGAGATTACTAGTCTGCAGAAGTATGACTCAAATTCTCATACAAAACTACTTAAGCAAAGACCACCTATCTAACCAGTTAAATTTTAACTTGAATTGCCCTTTAATAACTACTCTGTTCCTAGAAACAAAGAATTTCACCAACCTACAATATTTTTATAGCAAATAAAATCTCTATTTAGGAAAATCATTGTTTATAGTCAGGGTTAATGTTGGTGGACCTACTTGAAAAATGAAAACCTACATATAAAATTCAACATTCAGGATATCTGGGCAGCTCAGTAGTTGAGAATCTGCCTTTGGCTCAGGTTGTGATCCTGTGGTCCTGGAATCGAGTCCCACATCAGGCTCCGGCATAGCCTACTTCTCCCTCTGCCTATGTCTCTGTCTCTCACTCATAAGTAAATAAAATAATAAAAATCTTTAAAAAGAATAAAATTCAATATTCAAAAAGTGTATTTTCCGGTTCTTAACAGTTTCAGTTTCACTGTATCATAGTACAATTCCAATCATTATTACTAAACTCAGTATCAAAGTAGCAATGCCTCAGCTTTCACAGCCTGCCACTTAATAATGGTTACTTTAAGCCCTAGCTCCTTATCTGTCAAGAGGAATAATCACAGAACGTATTTCCGAATTGTTTCAAAAACTGTGTGTGGCACTCAGTGTTAGCTATGCTGATCAGATAAAATTTCTGGGAATTAAATATTTAGTAAAAGTCCTTAAAAGATGAGCACTAGAGAGATGCCTGGGTAGCTCAGCGGTTGTCGTCTGCCTTTGGTTCAGGGCGTGACCCCAGAGTCCAGGGATGGGATCAAGTCCAGCATCGGGCTCTCTGCATGGAGCCTGCTTCTCCTCTCAATTCCTATGTCTCTGCTGCCTGTCTGTGTCTCTCATGAATAAATAAATAAAATCTTAAAAAAAAAAAAATGAGTACTAGAGGGCACCTGGATGGCTCAGCAGTTAAGAGTCTGCCTTTGGCTCAGGTCAAGATTCTGGGGTTCCGGAATTGAGCCCCACACTGGGCTCCCACAGGGAGCCTACTTCTCCCTCTGCCTATGTATCTGTCTCTCTCATGAGTAAATATATAAAATCTAAAAAAAATAAAATAAAATAAAAAAAGATTAGTACTAGAAAATAATTCTCAATTATTACACTTGTAAAAGTCATGTAAACTATTAAGAATTTCTGACCAGGGCGCCTGGCTGGCTCAGTCAGAAGAATGTGTGACACTCGATCTCAGGATCGTGGATTTGAGCCCCATGCTGGGTATAGAGATTACTAACAAAATAAACTTTTTTAAAAAGGGTATTAAAGTATCAAGAAGAATAACTTTTAAAGATAAAGAAACCGGGATCCCTGGGTGGCTCAGCGGTTTAGGGCCGCCTTCAGCCCAGAGCATGATCCTGGAGGCCCAGGATCGAGTCCCGCATCGGGCTCCCTGCATGGAGCCTGCTTCTCCCTCTGCCTGTGTCTCTGCCCCCTGCCCCACCCCCGTGTCTCTCATGAATAAATATTAAAAAAAAAAATAAAGATAAAGAGACCTTTGAAGACAAAGAGTGAGCCATAATGTAAACTATAAGCACTTTGGTTGATAATGATGTTTCAATGTTGGTTCATCGAATGTAACATATGACCATAATAATGAGGAACACTGATGATGAAGAAGGCTGTGCTTGTATGGGGAGGAGGCAGGTGGGAAATCTACACTTTCCTCTCAGTTCTGAAGTGAACCTAAACTTGTTCTAAAAGATGAAATCCATTAATTTAAAAAAATACATGTATAAACACTATATAGTAAACTATTTGTCTGGCATTATATAATGAGGTACCATTTTTTCTACCAGGGTTTTGGGAAAACTTCTAAACACCAGTTCAGCAACCAGCGAAAGTACTCATACATTCCTCCTTTCCCATCCCAAAGCATCTAAAAGTTAAAATAATTAATTTCAATACCATCAGGGTTTTTTTTTAAAAGATTTTATTTGAGAGAGAGCGAGAGAGCATGCACACAAGCAGGGGAGAGGCAGAAGCCGACTTCCCACTGAGCAGGGAGTCCGATGTAGGATCGATCCCACGACTATGAATGACCTGAGCCAAAGGCAGATGCTTAACCGACTGAGCCACTCAGGTGCCCCAATATTATCAGTTTTTTAATGCACCATGCTGTTACTTTTTAATAGTATTTGTCATCCCCCCAAAGTGTTTGAGATCACTAAACAACAGTGTAAAATCTAGTAAAACGTGGCTTTTTAAAATAGCAATTGAGGGGCAGCCTGGGTGGCTCAGCGGTTTAGCGCCACCTTTGGCCCAGGGCCTGATCCTAGAGACACGAGATCGAGTCCCGCTCGGGCTCCCTGCATGGAGCCTGCTTCTCTGTCTCTCTCTCTCTCTCATAAATAAAAATAAAATCTTAAAAAAAAATAAAATAGCAATTCAGTGATCAACAGAGTTGATAGGTTAGAGTCTCTGGGTACAGATGTACAATTTGTTTCCTATACACACAAAACTGGTCTTAGGATGAGTTTAGTCTTTACTCATACCTGAGAATAACAAAAGCTATTTCCTTCTAAAGCAGTTACCTATTGCCACTTTCTACTTGCCATATGGCCCATGACTACGTATCTTAGAATTTATTGCTCAATATACAAGTGCAGAAGAAAAAGATTCTTCAAACTTAATACCACATACTTCATGGGTTCTACAACTCTCTTCTGTTTAAAAAAAAAAAATGTTATCTATATTAGTAATTAAACTGTGCTCCCTACATCAGTAATTTTTAAACTGTGCTCCCAGTAGTCCTCATGGAGTTGGGGACCAAGACATTAGGAGAAAACAGGATCAGGGACATTAACAAAAGAAAATCAGAGACAACATGTTC